CCCCAAAATTTCAGCCCCGCAGCTTTTGTAGGTCTTGAGATGAAAAACCGTGACAGACGCACACACCGACACACAGACACACACACACAGACAACCTCTCGTCAATATGCTTTTTTCGCATTGCATTGCTGCAAAAAACGCATAAAAAGCACTACGGGTTAGTGTTTGTATGATTTCTGTGTTGCGTGTTTGTTTCCGAATCCGGAAGAGGATGGCGGGAGGGGAACAGGGAGCGGGTATTTTTTTCACATTTTTAATAAATTCATAATTCTTCAGAAAATGGGGCCACAGGGACCTCCGGGTCATCCAGGTGAAAGTGAAGCCGATGCACTACCAGGGCCGCCGGGACCGAAAGGACCTCCTGGACTTCCAGGTTAGTTTAAAAATTCTTTTAAGAATAAGAAAACTAGAGGATGGACCACGGTGCTGCACGGGACTTCCTGACGTAATTTAGTCGTTGATTATATTAATCATGTTAATTATACCAATAATCTTATTAATTATAGCATTATTGCAAAAATTTTTTTAATATGTCATATTTCAGGTCGTCCTGGTCTTCGTGGCCCACCGGGAGCACCGGGACCTATCGGAATGTCCGGCGTACCCGGTGAGCGAGGTGTTTGTCCCACATACTGTGCAGTCGATGGTGGTACATTTTATGCAACTGCTGAAGATAACAAAAAAAAGAAGAGTCTACGAATATCCAGCATACCGCATAATTCTCGGATCTTGTGAGATGGGACAGATCTCGAGATCAACCCTGCTCTGTCATAAACTTTTCTTTTCGCATAGTCTCAGATTTACGCCGGAATCTGAGATTAGCGAGAAGTGCGCGATGTTTGGTTTTGGCAAACTACGAAAAGCCATCTTAGACGCGGTTCCAAAAAGAGAGGGGCGAGAGAGAGAGGAAATGAAGGGAGTCTCCAGAAATTCTTTGAGCCCTGGTCTTGAAAGGTACCAAAAGAGATGGAAAAGGATGGATGAGCTCTTTCTGATCAATTCTTTGATCACCTGTAGTTTCATCGTAGTGCACCTTTGCATCACTGGCGTTGCGGTTATGCTTTGCACGGCTGTTTTTAAAGCTACAGTTACCAGGTTATCATTCTGTTGGTGATTTTTTATGCGTTTTTTGCAGCCACGCAATGCGAAAAACGCGTACTGACGAGAGGTTGTCTGTGTGTGTTTGTGTGTGTGTCTGTGTGTGCGCTGCGCGCCTGTACCGATT